ACGAGAGTAAAAGCGCACACTTCTTGAAATGCGTTGGGTGGATCCTAAGACAATGCAAGTGAAGATTGTTCCCACTCTTGAGAATTGGAAGGAGACGATTAATAGGTTTCAGTGTCTCTGGGCTTTGCTCAAACTGAAAGAATTCGACAAGTTGCAGCTCCGGTTCATCAGTCAAGATGTTCTCGAACATTTATTTGGCATACTTCGATCTATTGGGTTGAGAAATGTTATACCCTCATGCTGGCAGTTCGAAGGAGATTTGAAGTCAATTTTGCTAGCGAATATCACAAAAGTTGCATCTGTCGCGGCCAATTGTGAAGATTTTTGTACTGGAGAATTACTTTTCACTCTTGAAGACTATTTAACTGGTAACAGAGAAATTCCACAGCAAATGGAACGAGAGCCAGAGCACGAGAATGTCTTCCTAGTCAAAAAAGTTGTTGATGGAACTGATCTCAAGAAGGAAGCAGTTAGCCCAAATCCCACGATGCCATTGCTGATGGAATTGTCAGGGGATTGGCACTGAAATATGAGGGCTGTAGAACATCCTTCTTCAAGCCAAAAGTTTCTCAAATAGTTATTTTCATCACAAGGTCCACAAAGTATTTTCTGACGAATGTGGCTTTGTAGGCCCCGCCTTCGGCTCGGCCTATAATCACATTCGTCAGAAAATACTTTTGGACCGTGTGATGAATGCAATTTTTCGTCAGAAGGCCCGTAAACCGCGATCAAACCGAGCGAAGCGAGGTTAGAATCGCGGTTTGCCGGGTCTTCTCACGAAAATAAACTTTATCTCTTTGATGAAGCTCATATCGAAATGGAAAAGCATTTGATGGATATAATTTCTCCTGTTTGTCACTTCCGTAATATCAGTGAAGTTTTTTTGCGAAAACTTAAGGAGAAAGTACCGAACAATTGGGTCCAATGTGCCTTACACACAGAGGATTCGAATACAGCTGCAATGAAGTTGGTTATTGCTGAGTTTTTACCCCATTTTTGCACCACAGCAAATCGAATTCTCACTGGAAAATGGACAAATAGATTTAACTGTCCCATTCTCGAGAGAGCACTGCAGAGATATAAAGATTATCATCAAGCAAAAAAGGAGTAAAATTCTCAATTGTTTATTAAAAATAAAATTAACGTTGCGAATTAATATTTTTATGTAACAATTGCAAAATTATAAAATTCATTTGAATAAGCAATATTATAAATCCTTATAAAGGTCACAAGTATTAGCGTCATAAGGTTCTTGAGGATCATGCGGGTCAAGCCGATAGAATTCTGAATTTTATACATTCTACGTTTATAATAGTCATGACATTAGCCCGATGAAATACAAAAAGTTTATTGAGGGTCATGAGTGTAAGGGTCATAAGGGTCACGGCCAGGCTGACGAGGGTCAGAATTTTTTTTACTTGAAATTTATGAAAGTTACAAGATTCTTGAGCCTGACAAGAATGTAAGCGATAGGGTCATAGGGGTCGCAAGGGTCAGGCTGAAAAAAAAGTCTGAAGTATGTTTATATGGGTTAAGAGACTCATGAGCCTGATGAAAATCAAAAAGCTTATCAGGGTCACAAGCGGTAGAGTCATAAGGGTTACGGGAGTCAGTGTGATAGAAAGTCTGAATTTTATATATTCTCCATTTATAAAGGTCAAGAGACGCATGAATATGATGACAGTAGAAGAAGCTTATAAAGGTCACACGCATCACGGGCATAAGGTTCTTGAGGGTCAGGAGGATCAAGCCAATAAGCTTCTGAATTTTATATATTTTACATTCATAATGGTCACGACATGATGAGTTTAATAAAATTCAAAGAGCTTATTGAATTTACAACTTTTATGTGATGGAAATTTCCCAAAAATGACAAAATCGAGGAGAATGAATTAATGAATATTAATGAATAATGAATACCCCTTCAGGCTCTGAACGAAGCCCTGAAACTGAAGTTGACCCAAAAGATTCAAGGAGCTACTGGAACTCGAAAAAATCTTCTGGAGACGTCTTCAGCCCTGAAAACCAGTATTGTATCACTGAGAAGTGAAAATCGCCATCGGAATGGGAAGAAGTAGAATTGAACAGCCAGGCGAACTTCAACATCTCCAACCCCCATTATACAACTGTTTCGCCCTTGAGAAGTCCTTCAGTACTTCAACTTCAAATCCATCAAATCAAATCAAATCCATTGGTATCAGCAAAATATACATATCTCATAGAGAATTTCATGAGCAAAGAAAATATTTCTTGAGATCGTTTTTAAAGAGAATTTTAATTTTTTCAACAAATTCTAGGGATATTTTTCTCAGAACCCATTCGTTTAATTCCATTTGTCTCCTTTATAATACGAGGTTCAATGCTTTAAAACGTTTCTGTAACTCTTATTGCTCTCTGTGACAAAAGTCAATGAAAAAATCTCCATGCGTTTCCTAAATATCGATTTTAAAAAACTCATCCTCGAGTTGACTCGACTCAGGTGTACACTTCCACCTCTTCAATATAGATTTATGCATGAAAGATGATCAATCAATTCATTTTACTGAATGTGACTGTCTATCGTTTCCTGGGTATCACTGAGTGAGCGAGATACCCAGGGGAGGATGGCAACGAGTGAGTCTCCACTAGCCTTCTAGTTATTTTCACTGGTATTCAACCTCAGTAGTCATAATTTATACCCCCAAAAATGCAATAGAATGAGAATGAATAGTCAAGTATATGTTTTCTTTTTATATAGATCCGTCCTCGAGGAGAGTGACCTGCTGACTTGCCTGTCACTGAACGATCCGGTCAATAAAAATCATTACTTCGCAAGATTGCTCCACATGAATTTATGCAGCTTAAAACTCTGAAATTCATTCATAATCCATCAATAATATATTTACTATTTTTTTATTGTTCCTTGTAAATATGTCGTTCCGTGTAAAAAAACCTAAATATTGAATGAAGAGTATACTTTTCGTATGATTTTTTAAATAAACAGTTTTTTTTTCAAATATTTCACTTTCACTCTTTCTTCCTAATTGCCGGATTTTTACGTTATTTTTGTATGACTTTCAGATCGAGAGAATTTGAGATATTTTTATGTCAATTTTATAAAACTGCGAACTGAAAAATTAATCCATAGAAATTAATAGATTAGGTGAACAGATGTGTCAACCTAACCGTTGTTTACAAAAATTAAACTCCCCCCGCGCGTTCTATCACACGTGCGTCAGCATCAGCGCCACGAACGACGGAAGGGAGAATTAAAATCGTGTTTCATTCGAAACAATGGAGTTGGACCCCCCTGCGGCTTACTACGCTTTAGTACGCTCAAAGCGACGCAGTGTGGTACCGCTTTTCTATAGGAGATATGTTTGAGTTACACCCGATGTCCGAGCCTGTCCGAGGCGAAGCCAACGGCGGTAAACACGTAGGTTAGGATGTCCTGTTGTCCTTCCTCGGTGCACACGATATTTTCCGTCATAATTTCACGGTTAAGTTCGATTTTTCTCTGTAAATTAAAGAGAGGAATGTGGGTTATGTCATTCCGAGGATCTCCTAAAACAGTAGAAATCCGAGAAATGAATTAAGCCTTTTGCCACCCGTTATTTGGGAGGGAAAATCAAACTTTTCGTGATATGACCGAAAAAAATTTGACGATACTCATATAGCCTCGAGGTATCATCGGAAAAATTTGAGACCCAAAGGTTCTCAAGCTCAAAAGTTGGCATGGACTGCCCCACAGAAATTCCAACGTGGAAGATTTCTCACTTGATAACGATTTGAGTTTTGGAATTAAATAATTCGAAAAAATTTATCCTTAATAAATACTTAACGTATTCATTTCGGAATCGAAAGATTCAAGAAACAGTGAATACAGGGAATCGCCATTCAATAATGAAGTGAGTGCATTCCAAACATGACAGTTGGAGGTTACGGAATTATCGAGAAAAACGTTGTAATACATATTGAAATACGATCTTGCGAGATCCTGAGAGAGTTCAGCAACATTTTTGAGAGTGATATTCCATTAAATTATATTTGTTATCAGAATTTGAGGATTCGCGTAGCAAAACCAGATCGTTGGTGGTGAAACCAGACGTAGTCCACCACACATTAATTGTCAGAGATCCCATTGATTCATACATCATTGAATAAATCTTATAATTTTGATTACTATTAAATATCAAGTCAACTCGTTTCATTGACTCAATCCGAAAATTGATTAGGACCTAATTATCATATTAATTGACGTAAAATCGATTCTGATCATTCATTCAATTCAATATTCCTTCTGGAGAATAATTCATGCAATTGAGAATTCGTCATTGATGACTTATAGCCAGTAATAATATACTGGCTCGAATAAATATTAGTATTCAATATATTTTGAGATATTTCTTTTGAAATTTCATAATAATTAGTAGTAGTTGACGAATCTTTTACTAAATAGAAGGATTAATGACCCGAATAGAAAATATTTGAATAAGATAATATTGACATTACTGAGAAAAATGCTATTGAGGTAAATATTGTTGTTAATGTCTTTTACTAGCGTTGTTTGGGATTTCTACTTATCAGATTCTTGGTTATTTAACCCGGAATATTTATTACCAATTAACCAAGACTAATTATTTGCAGAACAATTGCCCGCATTGTGCTTAGAAATGGATCAAAATTGATTAGAAACTCCATATATCGTTACAATAGAAGATATCACAGCAAGTAATATAAAAAATGACATTAAACTAGCAGTTGAATATAGGCAGAACTACTCAGTCGATAATATACGTATACCATTGAGAATACAAAGCTTTAATGTCGCAAGAGCAGGATTTCTACCAAATTTTGACTTTTCACCTCTATTTTCTCTCAAGTTATAAGTACAATTATTTTACCATAGAAATGGAAAATGGAAATTATTATCGAATTTGCCGTAGGTAGAATTGTCCTTCTTTCAAAAGATATGTGACATCCCTATGGACACAAAATAAAACTACGAGTAAAATACGTACTTGGCATCGTCATTTCCAAAACGCTCCGCGGCAACAGAGCTGGTATCATTATTTGTTTCAATGATAAGTCTGATCACACCATCATGCATTTGAATTTGATGCGTAGCGAATGCTAGGAAACATTGCGCCCCAGTGGGTGGAATTGTGATAGACCATATTTGTCCTTCGCTGGGTCCTCTCAACCATAAGAAATGTCCTGAAAAGATGGATTAAAGAATAATCATGTAACCGGAATGAGTAAACCTCAATTACGGCCGATTTTTTCATATACCTTTTGCACTACCCGCCCGGTTTCTCAATCATCTGATTCACCACATGGCTTTATGTATTATTTCCATGGATCATTTTCCAAAGCCTCTGTTTGTGGAACGGGTCTTTAGAGGAAAAAGAAAATGAACGAACCGACACGTAGTTGAGAAAAGTAAAATATATCAATGACGATTTCACCATACAGGGGAATATCAAACATTTCACTGTGAAGAATGTCATTAGGAAATTTTCTTACTTCTTTGCCCCGTCTTATTTTTTGCGGAAAAAATCGGCACATATTTTTGCAACTGTAGGAATATTCAACAGAGAAGTTTTAAGAAAAACCAATCGATGTTAAAAAATTTGTACTTTTTCCTGAAGAACTTATTCTGTAATATTTTTCTTGACGTAATATTTCAGGATTTCTTATTTTTCATATTTTTCTCATGGATTCCTATTTTTTTATTTCTTAATAAAAACTTCAATATCAGAGTTTTTAATAGAGAATTTTCGAGTAAGAGTAAGTTCCTCGCATATATTCAAGTTTACTCGTCTAACTGACGCAGTCGCTGAGTTCCCCGGGGCCAAAATTCCAATACTATTATATCAACCAAGCCTACAATTGGTATGCTAAGGCTTGGCGACCTACTGAAAGTCGAATATTGGCTTTGCATTGGCATGTCAAGTCTCGGTGACCCGTTCACGGCCAAATGTCACCTGGACGTCAATTGGCCATTCATAGAATCCAAATTCTAGACCAATAATTGGGTAAGCTTCGGAGACTTGAGAAGAGTCAAATAGGAAAGACCTGTCAACGGATCCCGAGAGTCAAATTCTCATTAGAGTCAGAGTCCAGCAGCACAAACGAGCACAATAATCGAAAGGGCCAAACACTCACAAGGGTCCCGAGGGTCAGAAGCCTCAAATATGGCTAATGATAAAATTACTTGCAAATTTCGGAGGCTTTCATAAAAGGTCCAATGACCGTAAGTGCCAAACGGAGCATACAGGAAAACGCGTAAACAAATAGTAAGAGTGAAACGATCATAAAGTTAATGGAAAATCCAATCTGGAGACCTTAAGGGTCAAATGCTTATACGGGGCAAATCATGATAACGGTCAAATGGGGAAGATAACTGGAAGGGTAAAAAATTCTCGATTTCTACAAATCATCTAGCAGAAGAAAGATTTTTATTTTCCATATTGATAAACACAAATTCACTCACTTCCGTTCTTATGAATGCTGTAAACTCATTATTTATTGATAATTAATAAGTAGGTTCTTTACCAGGTCTATATTGAATTTTATAATTGAAAGAAATTAGAGAATCAAATAAGAATAAAATATCTCATTCATGTAGCTAATGAACTTCTCCGTAAGTAAGAACTCTACAGTGGCCGAGTGGGTAAAATTAAGGACTAGCACTCCACAGGTGCCAGGATCGAATGCCGACAAGTCTACATCTTCACGCATCATTATGAGTGGTTACTGGTTTCTTCAGGAAGGATCAGCCGAAGCATGTAATATGAATGATAAAAAATTTAGTCTTTAATTTCTTTCAACTATTAAAATTAAGTTTCGGGTGGATCACAGGTACCGACCATTGGTAGACGTTTGCCAACCAATATCGACCGAACATTATCAAACCAATAGCTAGCCGAGTTGGCGCCACGCCCGATTGAGGATCGGCATCCAAGACTCGGCAGCTCGGCTTCCAGTAGTACCTGAAACGTGGCCCGTTAGACTTCTCGTCCCCGGGTCGTCGGATCACATGCGAAAGGTTTTTCGATCAAAATCTGATTGGGTAAAATAATACTATCGAACCATTTAAACCTGTGACCAAAAAGTCCTACCAATCCCTGTCGGTATGCGCTGAGACGAGGAACGGCCAATCGCGATCGAGCGTTGCGTGTGTTATGTCACGAACTGGTGTTCCCACTCTCGATAAACCAGGGACGTAGTGGATAACCTGTAAAGGCGTCACCCGTACGGCCGGAGCTTGCGAAAACAATTCGTCAATTACAAGCTTTCGACATAATTATTATCCGTGAATTATTGAATTGCCGAAAGTGTTTGAATTCTGTTCCGTTGAATTGTGACACATTGTGAAACATTTTCACGCCTGATAAATCAGAATAGGATCAATGGTCCTCGAGTGATTGGAAAAAAGTGGAAAATCGAAAAAAAATATTTTTGAAATGGGCTATTGAAAAAATCTGAAAACATTTGGAAGATGTTGTTAGCTCTTCAAATATAGAGACAATCACTATCAATTTCCAACAGGCTGAGGTCAGTCATTGACTTATTTGCCATTGCGTTCATGACGTGACAAGCTAAACCAACATTTGCCGAGATTTTAATTCCTGAAGTCAGCTAGCTTTATATCTGAGACTAAGGGTTCCATTTGTGCATACTAAGACGGCGTAATATAGAGTGATATCTGCCCCAAATTTCGAACCGTAATTTTTTTAATTTTCTTCTTTCCATAACTCTACAATAGTTTATAAAAATATTTTCAATCGAATAAATTGGAAATATTCTTGCCTTTAAGTAAAATTTCAAGTGAGACCTTCGAGTTGGCCCACAATAAGAATCTCTGAGTTGACACATTCCCAATAGTTTGATGTCACCGACCGTGCCATCGAGAGATTCCCCACTCCCTTTCCCCCAAAACACCAAGGAATCAAGGTGTGTAAATGCACCCACCTTAATCAGTCGTAATTTTCCAGCAGAGTTATTAACTCTTCATTAATTGGAGTCCCAATCGATATTTTAATTCGGAATAATTGTTTGTTCACCATGTCAACTCCGGGATTCGAATTTGGTGAACCGAAAATCGTCGGTGATTCAAAAATAAGAACGATCATTGTCGGTCCGCGAATTTTCGTATTAAACCTGTTGGTCTCGGATATTAAAATAACATCATTTCAAGTCATATTCTATTCTTGATCGCAGAGTTAAAACAGAGTATTCGCGACTCCAAAAAATCTTGTTCTGCTGACTCTAGCGAGAATATTTCTTTTGTGTTGTTTTATTATTCGTTGGACTGAATATTTTCCCAGTTTCTGGATATCCAGTATTATCTTTTTTCCCCTTCTCATTGAATAACCTTCTTACGATATACAATCATTTGATGTAAGAAAGCGGACCTCAAGCTCCAAAGGCCCTCCTTTCCTTCGGATCAGAATCTACCAATTGTAGGTACTTGATAATTATCAGAAATTATTTTGCAGCAAAAGTCTGAATTTATCTACAATTTTGAGTAAAATTAGAAGCTTACAAATTTGTAAAATCATGAATAGTGGAATTCCAATGTAATTCTCCAATTCACTTATGGTCAACTCATATTAAATCCCGTAAAATTGAATTTCACCTTTTCTTGGTTCAAAAGAAACCACTTCCCAAATATTTTCCTCCGAGAAAAATAATTTAAGACACTGCTGTATCAATTACTTTAGGGGTTAGGTTGGACTATCGAGCCAGCTGGATGTTGAACTCGGAGCTGCCGTTTTTTAAAAGTTTTTTTCCTGTCTTTTGAGTTTTTTTTGCTTTTCGGCGAGGTTGGGGGTGCCCAAGGCTTACCTCCTGGTGCTTGTCCACGTCATCGGAGCACCGAGAGCGCGATCCCAAACGATCCAAACTCCTCATAAGAGATTCTGGCCATAGCACCCAGGAAACCCGAGCAACCTCTTCTACTAGGCGAACTTTGTCTCGAACCTCCAGCTCGTCCACCACTACTCTTACTTCTACTCCAAAACTTCCCGAAAAACGTGGTAGACCTGCCAACGTCGTGATACTGTCTAAGGTTAAAAATCATCCCTCGTCGGTCCTGGTTGCTCTCAACCTACAGACCGAACAGTGTAAACGAAAAAAACCTACTGGTGACCTGGAACACGAGTATGACAGTGATCCCCTTGTGAGGCACTCATATACAGATTTTCACTATAACCTCAACCGCGATTCGCCAGAGTGCACTGACTCCGAACTCTTTGATGAGGAATCTGACACCAACAAGAACCACACTATCCGGGTAAATTCCGCACCTGCGATGAGCACCACGGTGAACTCTCCTGTTTCCGCTGACGAGCTCCCCCAGGTATCACGCCAAATGGTATGCTGATGCTCCTGATGGGCAAGATGGACACTATGTTGGAGCAAGCTAACAGTCACAGGGAGGAACTCAGGGCCTGGCGTAGCTCACTGGACTCTGCGATTGATGGGATTAAAAACACCCAGCATGCACTTGGGAGCAGGCTAACTGCTCTCGAGACGGCCAGGAACCCAAAACTAAACCAGGACATCGAGACAAGACTGAGGAAAGTGGAGGAGACCATTCAACACCCACCATCCGGACAACAACAAACTCGTTCAAAAACTGATGACAAGAATCGAGAATCAGGAAAAGACCCCCAAGAAGAATAATGTGATAATTAAGGGCCTTAAAATTCAGGACACCAGTCTCCAGGCAGGTGTCTCCACTTCCCTGTAGACCGCGGTTGGTTTTGAGGGGAAAATTATGGATGTCACGAGTTTGGGGAAATCAAGAGAGATGCTCGTTGCCCGGCTCGATTCGTCTGAATCGAAAGCACAACTCTTCAAGAAGAAGAAGAAGGAGGTGGGCCTCAAGAACATATATATATAACACGACTTGAGAGAGAGAGAGAGAGAGAGAGAGAGAGAGAGAGAGAGAGAGAGAGAGA